TCCTTTCATCTTTGAAACTCTTTCTTCATTTGACTTTGGAACACTCCTCTCATGGTTGGCTTCCTGTTGTCTTCTCGATTTTTTTTTTTTTTTTGAGACAGAGTTTCGCTCTTGTTACCCAGGCTGGAGTGCAATGGCGCAATCTCGGCTCACCACAACCTCCGCCCCCTGGGTTCAAGCAATTCTCCTGCCTCAGCCTCCCGAGTAGCCGGGACTACAGGCATGCGCCACCACGCCCAGCTAATTTTTGTATTTTTAGTAGAGACGGGGTTTCACCATGTTGACCAGGATGGTCTCGATCTCTTGACCTCGTGATCCACCCATCTCGGCCTCCCAAAGTGCTGGGATTACAGGCGTGAGCCACTGCGCCCGGCCTGTCTTCTAGATCTTTAAAGTCGGGACCCCAATTTGGATGTTCTCTTATATACTGGCAAGTACTTCTGAGGTGATCTCATCCAATCTCATGTCTTTGCATAGCAGCTCCATGTTGATGACTCCCAAACTTAATATTCCCAGCACTCATTGCTTCCCTGATCTTTAAGTTCATATAAACATCAGCATCATTATTGGATGTTGAATAGGCATAGCAATGAAATTGCAGTATTGACACTATCCCCCAAATAAAATGGTGTCACCATTGTCTCATCCCTGTCTCTTGCTCATGTACCAGCTCCACCTCCAAAATATACCCACCCTCTTCTTGCCAGCTGTACTCCTACTTTATTTCCAGCAATTATTAACATTTGCCTGAACAGTTGCAAAAAATTTCAAACTGATCTTCCTGCTTCTCCTTGACCCCTACAATGTATTTTCACCACACCAGCCAAAGAAATCCTTTTAAATCACAAGTAGTAGTATGACACACCTTGGCTAAGAACCCTTCCTGAATTTAGCACTCCAAAGACCAAAGTTCTTACCATGACCCCTGTGAGGTCTACATGACCTGATCCTGCTGCTGTCTTTCTAATACCATCTCCTTACATTCAACCACCCTGTTCTCTTTGTTCCAGCCAGGATGGTGTTTTTGCTCTTCCTTGAGCATGGCAAATATCCTCCCACCTCAGGGCCTTTGCTCTTGCTGTTCCCTCTGCCTGGAACACTCTTCCCTTTCAGATATCTGCATGACTAGTTGCCGAATTCCTTTAGGTCTCTGTTCATGTATTATTTCATCTGAGAGGACCGATCTGTCTGCAGTAGAATCCACCACCATCTTTCTCTACCCCTAATTCTTTCTTCATCATCATCCCTGTCATATTATATACTTATTGTCCATCTTCTATTTTTATCTCCCCAGCTACATTCAGAACACAAATTCCATGAAACAAAATGTTTGTGGTTTTCGCTGCTATATCCTTAGAGTTACAATAGTGTGTGGCACAGAATAGACAGCTAGTAATGTTGGTTAAATATCTCTTATTTTGGTTCTCTGTCTCACTTGATACTGTTGGCTATGTCCTTCTTGGAATGTACTCTTCTGTCTTTCGGGTTCTCCTATTTCTTTGATTACTGCTGGCTCCTTCCAAGCTTCCTCCTCCTTTTCTTGAAGGTTGAGCATTAACATCCCCCAAGCTGAGAACTTAACCTTCTTTTCTCCTCATTCTGTACACTTTCCCTTGATTTCTGTCTATATCCCATTGCTGTAAGTAGCATAGATACAGGACCCAATGACTAACATGCAAACCTCTGTCTTCATTTCAGACCTTCCTCCTGCATCTGGTCTGCCCAGCTCTCCTCTGCACGCTTCCACTTAAATATCCTCTGGGAAGCTTACAGAGGTTTCTCTAGTGACAGCCTGAGGACTTCTCAAAATGATGCTTTACTCCTGGCCTTCCTTTTGAGCAAAAGGCCCCAGGAATTGGACCTGTTTTCCTAATAATGATTTAAAATAATTAAAGAACTACTTTTATCAAACGTTTTATATACATTTTTTCTAATCCCTCCAATGAGTTTTTATAGTAGATTATTAACTTTGTCTTATACATGAGAAAACTCAGTCTCAGTAACTTGCTTAAAGTTACAAAGCTTCTAATGTTTTATTGCAGTGACGCCATTGCATGATTCTGATTCCCTTCGATGATAAATGAAATCCTGTCTTCTCCGTCAGGAAAAGTCTAGAACAAATTTAACAATCCAAGCAATAAAATGAGATTTCTCTGCATCTCAAGAACGTACTGCCTCTGGGGACAGTCAGTTCACTTGGCCTATCCTATTCAGAAGGCCAGGGAGTTTCCATCTTCCAGCATTACCCTTTGTCTCCTACAAAGAGTTCAGTTTTAACCTACCCAAAACTGATTTTTTAAATCCTTTTCCCACAAATCACCTAAAAATCAGTCCAAATGCCCTTTTCTCCCCCGTTCTGGTCGCAGCAGGCATGTTTTTAATGCTTACGAAGAAGTAAGTATAATTTCGGAATTTGGCAATCTTCTTACAGGGAGAGAGAAGCAAGCTCCAGGTTAATACAAGTGGATTTGATGCATGCCATTTTGCTTCACCTCTAACAGAACAGTCGGCTTCAGGCTTCGGTTTTTTTCACTGGATTAAATCAGGTGGAGCATATGCAGGCTCTCACACAGCAGCAGCTGCTGAGTCTATCCAGAAAATTGCTGTGCCAGCAGCGATTTCCCCGTGGCTCTCGCGTTTAATTGAATCAGAACCAGCAGGTGACTGGTGCCATGACAAGGGAATCACAGACACTCTCTGAGCCTGTCACCCTGTGACAGAGCTTAATATACAGCCTCTTAGTGAAGCGCTGAATTCTGCTTACGGGTAAGGCACACAGGGCCTTTCCTATGATTTTTTTTTAATGTGCTGGAGAGGCATAACTTTAAAACCACTATTTTTAGATATTATGCAATTAAGATGGAGAATAATGAGGCAAGTGATTTATTTTGTAAAATAATTATGTATCTTACAACCCATTATTACTAAAAAAATTAATACCTTAATATTCTGTATTTTGGTCCTGATTTATGTAACTAACCGTATATATTTATATAAACACACATTTTCTAAAGTTTTTTTTTAACTAAAATATGTGGCAATTGAGCAGATGCAGTTCAATCAAGCGGAACATTAAGCTAAATCTTAATCATAATAGTTACTGATTTTACATTTTCACTTTCAAGGCATTTTTAATTTGTCTCAGAAAGGGTCAGTCAATAGTTTTTATGTAATATATAGTATATATTAAAAATCAGATTCCCAAATAAACAAGTTGAAGGTTTTGCTTAAAGTCTCATTCCTACCATTGATTGCTGTCTAACATATTTTAGTAACAAAAAACCTTTAGAGAACATGTTTTTATATAAATATATAAGGTTAGTTACATAAATGACAAACAGAGATAAGGAGGTGGGTTGGAGATCAAGGAATCGTTTTTCCTCCCAACATATCATTGGTTTATTCTGTTCAGGGACAATCTCTGTGAATAACATATGTGTAGCTGTCAGGAAATGGTTACAACTATAGAGAATGAAGGAATCAGTATATATAAAATGGTAATTAGCATTAATTAAGGAAAAGATAAGCATTTCTATTAATGTTCCATTAAGCCTCAAGCAACAGAAGAGCAGTAGTTTTCACCTGACCTTGGATTTTAAAGAAAGTGTAGTCAAAGCAAAATGTCTGTTCCAAATGAGGTCTTTCCAGACCATTCAGGGGTGGTATGCATTAAAAGAGTCACATTTCAATTTGTAATGCAGTGACTCTATTTTTATTCCATATACATACAGTGACTAGTGAAGCAGCTCATACTTAGAAGGGAGAGAAATTGAGAAACATCTCGTGCAAATGCTGCAAAGGTTGATACATACATAGGTAAATGGCAGACAGATAAAAGTTTACACTCAGGTTTTCTTTTATGCTACTTAATGAGAACACATTTTTTTTTTTTTAGTTCAGAGTCCTTTACAATATAACAAACGGTTGACAAAAATTGTAAACAATACTTAAGAAACATTATTAAAGGAAAAAAACTATTAATGGGCAAAAGAATTGAGGTATTTTACTGAAATCAAAACACAATAGATTCATAGAAAAAAAGAATTTTAATGTAGTTCAGAGTTTCTTTAAAGTTTTAATGATCATGAAGCATTAGTAGCTAAGCTCAAGGTGGTAGGTGGAGAGAGCATAGCACCAATTAATATCAGTCTATAACCCCCAAAACTTACTCCTGTCATCAAAAAACTCATGTGCTCAGCTAATGATTACCACAGCATTGCGTTCGTCTAAAACTTTCGTTTATGTTGTCTGCTAGCTTAAGGCTTACACCTTTGCTCTTAATAAAAGAAAAAAGGCTACTTAACTAAATCTCCTAATCATTAAAAACAATTGGTTTTATAGCCACTTTCAAGAAAGTTCCCCTCAGAGAAAGTTACAAAAAAAAAAAAAAAAAAAAAAAAAACTTTGATGATTGTGAGGCTTAATCAAACATTGTAGAGTCAACAAATGGTAAGAAAAAAATCCTAATAAAATGTTTCTAAAAATTGTAAATTAGTTTGATAGAGTCTGAGTTGAATGTTTGTAGTGATTTTGGAGATCTGCCAGTGTTAAATAGGATCCAGTTGGTGTGGACTGAAGGATTCTGGCAGCAAATCAAGACCGAAAATCTGACCAAATAATGTCTTTTTGAGTAAGTGACAGTTAGAATCTGTTCTCTGGCATTACTGCTGTGAGTAAATGGACAGATATTTTATTTAAACATCTAAGTGTGAAAAAAAGTTGTCATTTACATGTCCTAAAGAATTCAATAGAAAAAAATTACAAAATTTTCAAGGTCTATTGTTTTTTAATAAAGTTTGCCATTCTAGAAAAAAAATCATCAAAAAATAATGAAGAATGTACCCACTTTTTAAAAATGAAGCTTGCAGCTCCATATACATGTGTGTGCAACACATACATATATATATGCACACACACACATAGTTGTTTATATATATATGTCTTTGTTATATAGGGACAGAAATATTAACAATGATATATATGTCATTATTAATTTTCAGGAAAAGGAAAGCGATTGAAGCAAGCCAAGGAGGAAGCAATGGTAGAAATTGACCAGTACAGAATGCAGAGAGATAAGGAGTTTCGACTAAAACAATCTAACGTGAGTAAGAAAGTCAGCACAGTTTCTTATGCAGAATAGATAAGACCTTCATATTCATAAGGCGTAACACGGAATACCGAGAGAAAAAATATGCTGCAATTGAGCAGATACAGTTCAATCAAGCTGAATATCGAACTAAATCTTAATCATAGTAATTACTGATTTTACATGTTCACTTTCAAGGCATTTTTAATCTGTCTCATAAAGGGTCAATCAATCGTTATGATATAATATATAGTATATATGAAAAACCATATTTCCAAATATACGAGTTGAAAGGATTTCTTAAATTCTCCTTCCTGCCACTGGTTGTTGACTAACATATTTTAGCAAACAACAACTTTAGAGAACATGTTTTTATATAAATATATATGGTTAGTGACATAAACAACTAACATTTCCAAGATTTACAAAGGACCAAAGTAGATATTGTTACAAATTGCTGAAAAGACTTCTGGTATTTTCTGATTATCTTTGCAAATGGCTGACTCATTCATTAAATCTTCCTTTTAGAGATAAACAAATGCTTTTTCCTACACTGGCATATTTTAAAATATCTGCAGTTTACTGTAAATTATAAACGCGTGAAGTCTTTGGAGCCAAAATCCTCCCTTCCATGTTGCAACATGGTCTAAAAGAAAGTGCTCAACTCCATGTGTCATAACTAAATTTTATATGAGATTTTATTTTGCCCTCGGTAAAAATATAAACAAAGCTCTGTGCAGAAGTCTGACATTGCAAATAAATTATAAGCAATTTGGAAATCCTCTTTATTTACAACTTTCATTTTAGTGCTAATGGATAAGGAGATCATGTAGGATTAAGTAAATAGGACCACTTGATCATAAAATCTTTCTGATCAAATAAAATAAAGTCCTTTCTGGAATAAAGTAGACCACTCAGCAAAAATAAATATTTTTATCAATGTTTGATAATAAGAAATCCTAAAGTCCTAAGTTCATACAGCCCTCCACGATTGGCCTTTGGCCATCTCTCTCACCACACTTCCTACCATCCTGGTCTTTATTAGTTCTGTTCTAGCCATATTGGCCTTCTGTTCTTCCTCAAGAAGACAGAACATGCCCCTACCACAGGGCCTTGTCATGTACCATTCTCACACTCTGCATTTCTTTTCTTCAGATACAATCATGTTTCTTTGATCTCTGTTCAATTGTTAGCGCCTATTCCTGATCACTTCATCTAAAATCGTGTCTGTCATAAATACGTACCTATTGTAGCCCATTGTTTCCCTCATAGCACTTAGCAGTATCTCACATTTTTTATATTTACTTTTTTTTTTTTTTTTTGCATATTGCCTATCTTTCCTTCTGGGACTTTAAACACCAAAGGAATCATTTATTTGTTTTTTTCTCTGTTTTCCTAGATATTAGAACAGTGCTTGCCACACAGTAGATATGTAATAAACATTTGTTGAAAGAATAACATTTTTTTTTTGCTTTGCCTCCTTATTGAATCCTGTCCTAACCATGATTTATTAGGACCTGAGAAAATAATCATCCTTAACATTATCCCACTTTGATTATCTTACATAGGATATTTCTGATGTAATTATTTCCATTTTTTAAGTAATGACAAAACTGATTGTAATTTCAGAAAGTGCTTGTGTTAAATCTCTCCAAACATTATTTCTCCAGAAGAATCTTATCAGATATATATCTTGTTCAGGTTATTTGTTCTCTGCTTTGGTTAATAATTAAATAATTAAAACTCATAGCTCTCATAATTAGCAGTCCAAGCCAATTTTACAGCTACTTGATCAAAAGCTCACATAGAAAGGTCAGCATATTTAAGCCTTGTCTATTTTAAGCATATTGTAAAACCATTAGCACAGATCTTCTTTCCTTGGCATGACCTCCATATGTCAGGCATATTGCTATTTCACTTAAATCTCATCTCATTAACCCAGGGCAATTAGGAGGTTTGGGAGGAGACCCAAAAAACCAGCTTCCTGTCTGCTGTGGGTGTTGTATCTTGATGTTACTTTTTTGTTGCTTTTTAGCTCTTGTTAATACATGTACTTTTTCAAGTGCCTGACTTCTCAACAGAAGCAGGTATCCTAATGTGGGCTGTACATGAGCAAATATTGTTTCATCAAAAATCTATTTATCCCTTCCTTATTGCTATCCAAGATAACACCTTCTACTAAAGAAGATATTACATTGCTAAAAAGAAATCTGGACTACAGTAGAAAAATTAAATCTGTTGTTAATACAAGTAAAACTCAGATAGATCATGAATCTAAATAGAGAACCTGAAAATGGTTGCCTTGGGCACACTGAAGATCTTTATACCTTTACTCTTTCTTCCTGAATTTATGTCCCAAGAACATTTTATTTCCTGAAAGCAATCACAAATTGAGATCACAAAACTGTGTTTTTCATATGACAGAAGGATCTGAACATTTAAACAACTTACAAGGAAACATATTGAATGTTTAAATATTTTCCATCACCATCAGTCATTACGCTGTTAAGCTATATATCAGTTTCAAAGCTGACATTTTGAAAATTAACATGGAGAAGTTCTCACATGTCACCCTTAGACAAAACGTATCATTACACATTACAGAATTATCAACTACTAATTTATACATTGTCCCAAACATTCAGGTGACAGGCTTCCACCAACACGAGCAACAGAACACAGGTAATGAGTTCTCTGTAGTATCAAGAGATCTGATCATTCCACTCAACACAAAAATGTGTATTGAGCGTCTACTAAGTGCCACACAGTGCTTAAGGCACTTATAATACATCAAGGAACAAGCCAGCACTGATTCTTGCCTTCGTGTCACTTACATTCCTTCACTGAAACTCCTACATGGGTTAAATCAATAATCTGCCTGCAGATACCAAGATAAGGAATTCTTCCCTAGGAAAACCATTTAAAATAGTGTATGACTAGTCATTGTTACAGTATTGCATAGGAAACGCTGTAGAAACTCAAATCACTGGGTATCAAATAAACTCAGAAATAATATTTTGTTTATGCCGGATGAAACAGGATTACGGGGGTATTGCAAGAGTATTACAATGTTTCTGAAAATACAGAACAGATTGGAAAAGTATGAAAAGTACAAGTAGGACAGTCAGTGAAAATTATAATCACTAACACATACGGGTTACTTGTTCAGAGTTAAACTTCTTTTTGTTTTTTTTTTTTTTTGGAAATGGAGTCTTGCTCTGTCACCCAGGCTGTAATGCAGTGGCACAATTTTGGCCCACTGCGACCTCCGCCTCCCGGGTTCAAGCGATTCTCCTGCCTCAGCCTCCCAAGTAGCTGGGATCGCAGGCATATGCCACCTCGCCCAGCTAATTTTTGTATTTTTAGTAGAGACTGGGTTTCATGATGTTGGCCAGGATGGTCTCAATCTCCTGACCTCATGATCTGCCCGTCTCAGCCTCCAAAAGTGATGGGATTACAGGTGTGAGCCGCCGCAGAGTTAAACTTCTGTGCCACATGTCATCTTTATAAGTTTCTCTGGAAAATGATTATGGTGTCTCCGCAAGCCACATTAAGAAATCAACTAATATTAACAGCTGCCATCTATTGCTGCAGTGTCCAAAATGGTGACCACTTTACATGTGGCTACTAAGCACTTGAAGTGTAGCTAGTCCCAATCAAGATGTGCTGCAAGTGTAGCATACCAGATTCTAAAGTCTTAGTATGAAATAAAAGAATGTAATAATTTTTTAATTGATTGTGTGTTAAAATGTGAATATGAGGTTAAATATATTAAAATAACTATAACTATTTCTTGTACATTTTTAATGTGGTTTCTAGAAAATTTATAATGATATATATATGAGTTGCCTTTGTGGCTCATATTATACTTTTGTTAGACACAACTGCTCTGCCCACTTACCAGTGAATCTGGTTTGCATTTTACGGTATCTTACCAAATGGGATATTATCCCTATTAAGAAAAAAATAGAGAAACTAAGGTTGAGATTAACTTTTCCAAAGTCATTCAGAAAGGTTACACTAAATTAACCTAATGACAACTATTTTTAATACTGTCCTAATGACAACTATTTTTAATAGTTTCACAACAGTTTGCTTTTAATTTTTTGCCACTAGAAGACATTGAATTTAGAGAAAAAAAAATTTTTTTTTAAGTTTGGTAGAATCCCATTTAAGATACTAAATTTAGAAGAAAAATTTTGAGCTTGGTAGAAACATTTCAATAAGTAGTTCTCTTCTATTTTAAAATTTCTTCTTAGCAAGGGAAATTTGATCCATATGTTTCTGCTTCTTGTATACTCACTTATCAAAATGTTATTCTTCAAAAGTTATTTGATGTCTTAGAAGCTGCAACTTCTCAAAATTATTTTCTTTGAACTGAGAAGACCCTGTTGCCTGGACTGTAAACAGAAAAGAACTTGAACCCAAGAGCCTCAAAGGCATTTGATTTCAAGCCTAGGACTCAAAAAGATCATGCAGATTTTAGAATTTAGAATAGTTTAACAATCCTGAAGTAGAAGTCAGTGGAGTCTCTTGGATTAAATTAAATGCATACTTTTCCTAAACACTCACAGAAGGAAAAAGCAAACAAACATAAAACAGTCTTCTTGCCTTTAAAATGCCATGTTTAAGAAAGGCTGAATTTACAAAGGTGATACATTAGGAGTTGATTGTTTGCTTTAATAAAGGCTAACTTTCAAAGTGTTTCACTGCAGAATTCCTTTAAATTGTTAACTCCCCTGATGAAATTATATTTTGATCAAATCATTTCTGGATAAAGAAGCTACAAGGAAAGAGCTTATAATGGAAAAGACTGAGAATCACTGCCATTAAAGAGCAATTAGAAAGATATATTACACTGTCTAAAATTATAATGTAACTAAATGAACAAGCATACTCAATTTGAAAGAAACACAACTTACACTAAAATTTTCATGACAATATCTATTACCCAAAAAAATCCACTTGTACTGTGAGGCACGGTGACTCATGCCTGTAATGAGGGAGGCCAAGGCACTTTGGGAGGCCAAGGCAGGAGGATCACAAGGTCAGAAGTTCGAGACCTGCCCAGCCAACATAGTGAAACCCGGTCCCTACTAAAAATACAAAATTAGCCAGGTGTGGTGGCACGCATCTGTAGCCCCAACTACTTGGGAATCTGAGGTGGGAGAATTGCTTGGATCCCCTGGGTGACACAGTAAGACTTTGTCTCAAAAAAAAAAAAATAAGAAGGAAATACACTTGTGAATATAAAAGTATCTTATAGGGCATATTGTGACTGTCTTCCTGATAAACAAGACATGGTCAGTTCAGATAATGTATTTTAAAAATAGAAAAACCAGTTATTCACTCAAAAAAAACAGCAAAAGTGGGTTTAATGGTATCTTTCAACTACGTTTTCCATTTATAATTCAGAAAGTAAATAATGGGAAAGATATGGAAACTGTTATAAATACATGAAAAATACGATGGAAAAGGACTTCTGGGCATAGTTTCATGCTTATAAATGTGTATTCAATTTGTACCATGTAGAGGTCGGTTAAAAGTGAAAGTAATCTGCTATGACCAGCTTCAATATTTTATGAAAGTTCATCCTTCCCACTCACAGCATTGATGATCTTGTCTGTTCTCTGAAAAAAATTCTAGATAAGGAGTACATAATTGTGCACCATAGGACAATCATCAGTAAACAGGCTAAGACAAATTTAACTTGTAAAACAATAAATTGCATTATGATGTTGTGAATTTTCTCTGTTTGGTTTTGGTAGATAATGGGCTCTCAGAGTAATCTCTCAGATGAAATAGAAGAACAAACACTAAGGAAGATACAAGAACTTAATGGACACTATAATAAGTGTATGGAATGTGTGATGAAACAGCTCTTGAGCATGGTCTGTGACATGAAACCAGAAATCCATGTGAACTACAGAGCCACCAAGTAAATGTACATCATATTTTTTGAGGAAAAAGAAAAGGTGTATGAGTGCCACCTAGTTGCTTATGGCTTCATGTTTTTATATTGAGAAATTTGAAATGTAAATCTTAAATTTACATTTACAGAAAATGTGACATAACTCATACTTTGGCATTGCATTAAACAAAACAAAATACAACTGTTGCTATATCTTTCTAGTAATAATTATGACCTTATAATTTATCTTGGAATAAGTCAAGAATGCAGAAGAGGAACATGCTTTTTAACACTTGCAAGAAAAACATGGTCATGACAGCTTTTTAGTGGGTGTTGGGTTTTTTTATTTCTTCTCCTTTTCATCAATTTGAAAACACACTCTTAATTCTGTTAAAAGGTAATTTGCTAAAAGATAATCTTTAAGCAGGATATGCTTATGACTCTTCAGCAGATCTAAAAATGAACATGTCAAGGGTTTTATTTACTTCAGTAAGCAATGAGGAAACCAGTAAGACAGAGAGACAGATATAAAGAATTATGGGTTATATAGCCATTTTTAAACACAGATGGGTTTTATAATCATTCTGTCTGTCTGACCTCAACTAAACTGATATTATTTTTAAGAGAAAAAAGTAAATGATAAATAAGCTGATAACAGATTTTGGAGCTTTGAAAAAAAGAAACAAAAGAAAAGAAATACAAAGAAAACGTCCAGGAAATATAGTAGGTTACTGTGCCACTAGCCCAGTCTCCTAGTTACAGCTAAGCTAAATTATTGTTAAATACTAAGTACTTTGTCAGTGCAATGCATAAATTATCTCAGTCCTACTGCGAGAGCCCTATTAGTGCTCTTGTTTTACAAAACGAAAGACAAAGAAAAAGGAGCTTGCCTGGAGATGCCTGGATAACAGTGACAGCCCGGGGCTTCAAGCTGGGCAATGTGACTCCAGTCTTCCCACTCTTCATTTCTTTCCGAACTACTTACCCGCACTGTTCCTATATTTGTATTAGTAAGAACATGGGTGCTATAAAGTCTTGGATTTTCATGTAATATATGCAGATAAATTTTAATTCCAGCCTAAAGAAAAGTTAATGGCTGGGCGCAGTGGCTCACACCTGTAATCCCAGCACTTTGGGAGCCCGAGGCCGGCGGATCACAAGATCAAGAGATCAAGACCGTCCTGGCCAGCATGGTGAAACTCTGTCTCTACTAAAAATACAAAAA